TAGGTTTATACTGTGTTAAATGTTTATTGTCTGTTTAATTTGAATGACACACTTTATATGTCTGTGAAAAAGATGTACTAGAGCTACATGGAGAGAAAAATTAGAACCATGCATAGACTGGGAAAGATAGTGTTCTGTTGAGAAAAAATGAAAATATAATAGAAGAAACATGCCTGAAAAATTGCAGAATATATGCTAGAATAGAAAAGAAATAGTAAAAATTTGAAGAAATATTTGGAGAAAATTAAAAACAGATCTAGGGTTGTGTTAGAAAAGTAATGAAACCAAAATCTGATATATGAAAATTATGTGAAAATGTTTTCTTAGAATTTATTGATAACAATAATTCATGAATTATTTGTTGTTTTCACTAGGCAAAGCCACAAACAACCTCAAAATCTCAGAGGTTTGTAGTATCAGGGGCAAAAAGTCTTGCTCCTATGACTGGGACCAATGGTGGCTGTGCTCTGTATAACTCATTCTGGGATTGGTTGAAGGAACAACTCCTATTCTAGAATGTGTCTTTTTTATGCAAAGGGAAAGAGCAAGAAAGTAGGCATCCACGTGATGGCTTTTATATAGCTTCTCACTTCCACTCATATTTCAATGGCAAAAGCAAGTCATAAGACCAACAATGGTATCATGAAACTCAAGTATTTTGGCTATAGAGGGAAATATAATTATTTTATTGGAGAGGGTGAAAAAATAATTGGAAAAAATAATGCAATCTACTATAAATGTCATATATCAACAGTGTCTCCCATGGAGAATGTGAGACTATAGATAAGTCTTCAAAAGTTAGAACAAATGCATGTCAGAAGTCAAGTACTCATTTAATAGTAACAAGCTGGAATCTTCATTAGTACTGAAATCTCTGGCTTTTGCCACTGAAATAGCACAGAATAGGATGGCTGTTTAAGTAAAACTCATTTTAAAAAGGAACATGAGCTTTAGATAGATGATAGATAGATGATAGATGATAGAAGATAGATAGATAGATGATAGATAGATTATATAGATTAGATAGATAGATAGATAGATAGATGACTAGATAGATAGATGATAGATAGATAGATAGATGATGATAGATGATGATAGATAGATAGAAGATAGATAGATAGATAGATAGATAGATAGATAGATGATAGATAGATGATAGATAGATTATATAGATTAGATAGATAGATAGATGACTAGATAGATAGATGATAGATAGATAGATGATGATAGATGATGATAGATAGATAGATGATGATAGATGATGATAGATAGATAGATGATAGATAGATAGATAGATAGATAGATAGATAGATAGATAGATGATAGATAGATAGATAGATGATAGATAAATAGATGATAGATAAATAGATGATAGATAGATGATAGACTATGATATATGACAATAAGAATGCAAACAGTGGACTGTGGTAATTAAAAACATATTGTCACAAAGTTCTTAAATTGTTTATTAAGTAAAAGATTAAGACAATTTAAAGACACGTTGTAATTCTTAAAGCAACCACCTAAATAATAACACAAGAATAACCTCAAATGCCAGCATATTCAGACTGAGTAGCAAAGCAAGATCCAACTGTGTGTTTCCAAGAAACACATTTTTTCCTAATTACAGTTGACATTCAGTATTGTTTTGTATTAGTTTCAGGTGTACAGCGTAGTGGGTAGACAATCATATACTTTGCAAAGTGTCCCCCTGATATTTCCAGTACCCACTTGACACTATACAGTTATTACAATATTATTGACTATATTCCCTGTGCTATCCTTTATATCCCTGTGACTATTTTGTAACTACCAATCTATCCTCCTTAATCCCTTCCCCTTCTTACCCAGTTCCCAAAGCCCCTCGGTCTGGCAACCATAAGCCTGTCCTCTGTATCTAAAGTCTGTCAAGAAACACACTTTAAACATGTTAACAGGTTGGATATAAAGGGACAGAAAAAATAGGCAAAAGAAAGCTGGTGTGGCTCTATGAATTTCAGAACAAAGTAGACTTCAAGATGACTAATGTTGCTAGAGATTAAAAGGGTGAATTTTATAATGAGGAAAGGGTCACTTATTTAAGAAGACACAAGACTACTAAATGTTTCTACACCTAATATCAAAGCTCCCAAATACAAGACAAAACAAAAGAGAACTGAAAACAATTTTACTGTCACTGACAGAGATTTTAACACTCCTTTCTCAGTAATAAAACAAAAAATCAGTACAGTTCCAGCTGATTTGAACAATACTAACCATCTACTTAAGCTAATTAACATTTATAGAAAATTACTCCCCACAAGGGGTTACAACTTCTAACATGCACATGAATTATTCAAGAAGGTGGACAATATTCTCAGTCATAAAACAAGTTTCAATAAATATCAAAGGATTTAAATTAAATACAATGTGTTCTCTAATCATAATAGAGTTAAAGATGAATAAAATAATATACTTTTTAAAACCCTCGAATATTTGAAAGTTGAAAAACACACTTACTAAATAACCCATGGGTTAGAGAAGAAATCTCAAAGGATATTACAATATGTGTATATATATATTTTTTTCTCTAACAGAAATACATAAAAGCATAATATTTGTATTTTTGAGATGCAGCTAAAGCAGTCCTTATAAGGAAATTTATAGATTTAAATAGATATATTAGAAAATAAGAAAGGTATAAAATCAAGTACTTCTTCCATTTTAAGAAACTATAAAAATAATAAATTAAACCCTGGGTATATAACAGAAAGGAAATAATAAGAGCAGAAATCAATAAAATAGAAAATTTAAGTAACTTTTATGAAGAAATCAAACAATAATACTGTCATACACAAAGTCTTTTATAAAATAGAGGAAGTGGGAACATGCCCCAACTCATATTATGAGAACATTTAGGTGATATATTACAGTGCAGTACATATATTATAGTGCACATATATTTAATATGTACTATATATAACTATTATATATGCTATATATGTAATTATAATAAAGACCGCTATTATGCATATCATTTAAAATAATATTTTATCATATATATTATAGTTTGTATTGCGTAAATACTATTGTATATAATTGTGAATTGGCACAGTTCATCCCCTGGGTTACTTCCAGTAGACCCCTAACCAAGGATCTTTCTCAACTGCGAAAAAAAACAGGGCTGCCCCTAAGTGGCTGTAACTGTTCATTAAGAACCTTCCCGTCGTGTTAGCATGTTTCCTGAGTGATGGGGAGTGTTAGACTGGAAGCTGCTAATCTTGCTAACACTAAAAGGCTCTCTCCCATTAGCAGCTTCTGTGTTGCATTAATAATAAGACAGTAATAAAGAGACCAACCCAGCTGCTCAGTGTCCCCTGAGGTGCGGCCCCAGCTTCCTTCTTATCCCCATGGCCCACTGTAATGGTCTTGCCCGTATTAAAGTGAGAAGGCAGATAATAAGCGCTGTCTATTGCATCAGAGTTCAAAAATCCCTTCTTACTAGGGAGAAACTCCTTTTTTTTAGACTTCCAAATTTAAAGCATATCATGAATACTTTTTCAATTAAAGTTAATCTGTTGTAATTCACAACTTTTTAGTGTAAGTGCAAATAATCAAGTACAGGGGGAAAATGCTTTAGAAAAAATAAACTTCTCTATCTTTCCTGGAAAAACTATAAAACAGAATACTTTCAGAGATGTCTTCTTGTCTTTAAAAAAAAAAAATTACATCACATATCTGCACAGCAATAAATTAAAGAAAATCATGGAATTAAAGACCTTTGCTTTTATAAATGTTAAAAACTCTTGTTAGTAGACAAAGAAGAAATGATGAGAAAATATCTTATTAAAACAAAGTAAGTAAGGTTGGATTTGTTAGGCTCAGGGTGCATGTTAGTAAATTAAGTCTTTGTTAAAATTTTATCTTAGGGTTTATAAAGATAGGAGCCAATGCCATACTTAATTGCTTATGATCTTTTTCTATTGAAAATACATGACCTTCAGCAGAAGTGCACTTTTTAAACATCTTCCTGATTTAAACATCTGTTTTTAAGTGTGTGATCTGTCCGTGGAATAAGATTATCTATGCAGAAGTTAGATGTTGGCAATTTTTCATCTACAAGCAAAACTAGTTTTGCTTTCAACTATTTTTTAATTGGGTAAACAATAATTCATCATCTCAAAAGTGTTGCTCAGATTTTTGTTATTTGGACTCCTCAAAATGCTAGAAAGTTTTTCTTGATTTATACTATTGTTTCCTGATTTTGAGAGGTTAATTTTACAATTAGGTTATGCATTGCACATTTTTATACTTTTTTTAATTTTGGAGGAGGAAAGAAGACCACTATCAATAATCATCATCAATGATAATATATATTTTTTAAATGAAACATACGCTCATAACCCTCAGAGAAGAAATCACTATGATGGGCTCTGAAATATTTATGTCAGATTCAAGAAATTATTGTACAAACCAATTAAAAGCTGTTTTCTAAAAATTTATAATCAAAATTTTTTTTCTTATAAGTGCTTAACATCTTAAGTGGAGGGAGATATATCTAATAAGTCAAGGCTGCCCATTCAAGTTTTTTAAATTATGTATAAAAGCCTGTGAATGGAAAAGAAATCTATAATTTAAAAATGAGAAAATGCCAGGTATTTATTTATAGTCTAGTAGACACTAGATTTTTCCTCTAGGCAAGAAAAAATCTAAGTCCCTTTTCATTAAATAATCTTTTCATATGTTTCAGTTTTAGTCAAGGAATTCTGATAAATCTGGTAAACCCTGTTATTTGTTTGATTTTGCTTTTAAAAAGTTAAAATATTCACTACATACCAATGGGTGGCATATTATTGTTAGAGTTGTCCTGAAATTTAGGGAAAAGGGGACTTAAGTATGCCATTCTTATAAAGTCCTAACAGCAAATAGGTCCATTGGAAAAGTAGCAGCTTTAATATAGAGCTGTTGGTAGTATGCACACTTATCTGAATTATTTTTGTTTTCTTTTTTCTGCCCTACAGTCCATGAAGGTTCAGGAGAAACCAGTCAGAAGGAGACGTCCACCTGTGATATTTGCCAGTTTGGTGCAGAATGCGATGAAGATGCCGAGGATGTCTGGTAACATGCTTTCATTTATTCTTTTAAACAAAGTTATGATAATTAATTTCTTCTTACTCCTTCAAGCATTTCCTAAAGAAGAAATTTTCAGCATTTATTTTTTTATCTAGTTCCTAACAAGGAAAAATATGAGGGCTATAATAACGGCAAGGAATTTCTGGAAGGGAATTAAGAGTTGGGCCAGCCAAGCAGCTGCCCAGCTGCCCTGCTTCATTTGATAAGATATAAAGAGATATCACTGAGACTCCCAAATACTGTCCATATTGAGAGATGGAGACAACAATCCTATTTACCAGGACATTTCTCAAGAAGCATGGTCAAGAAACAATGGACAGTGAGTTGCTAATCAGCTTTCTAAGATGGTAGATCTAGGTAACCTCAGATATCCTTATTTAAGGGTATGTTGATGTGTGCCTGTAGCTGAACTGGGAAGATGGAAAAGCAAAGAATGATCTCTGAGACACCCTCTAGGATCAACTTCTCCCTTCACCCAAGCAATACTCAGCTTCTCCTGTAAGCTATGCTGAACCAATAATGAATAATATTTATTTTAAATAAGTTCCAAAATGGTAGCCTTCTAGGGCATGGACGTGTGCTTGGTTCTGCCCTAGTCATACCCAAAGTGAGCAATCCAGAATCCAGAGGAGGTCTTTGTGGCATGATAGTGGAATGAATGAGGTTCTCTCTCTTTCTTCCTCTCTCCCTCTCTCCCTCCCACTCCCTATGTCTCCCCTCACTCACTGACTTTCCCCTGTACCTTTCAGGAAAACAGCCAAGTGTCCTTTGTTTTCTGAAAAATGCAGACTGTGCTTGCCTAGAGCTTTTAGCACTTATTTTGATCAAAGTGGCTGAGTAAATCTTAAATATTTTTACCACTGAAAGGTGGCAATTATGTGACTTGATGGTGCTATTAGCTAACATGATGATGGTAATCATATTGCAATATAAAAGTGTATCAAATCAACATGATATATAGCTTAAACTTATATGTTCATGTTATATGTCAATTATATCTCAATTTTTAAAAAGCAATCATTTTGATTTAACTCCTGTGGATGGAGGCAGCAATTCATCTAAGGGACAAGAAGGAAAGAAGGCAACATCATTTTGGCAAGAATATTTTATAATATTTTTCAGTACAGGTTAAGCTGAGGATTCCAACTGTGCAAACTGGGGTTCTTAGGGTGTTTTCACAAGTTACTTACCAGTTAGCACTGCTGTTGACTAACCAGGTAAAAGAGCCACACGTTAATAAAAGCTCACATCAGTAGAGTTTCCATACCTGTCAAACATTACTATCCAGTGGGCAGCTAGGAACCAAGTCAGAGAGCCTCTGCACTGTTTGACAGTCTTGAGGTAAACCACGTATGTTTTGTTAAGAACGTCCTGGGCATCTTAGTAGCTGATAAATTTATAGTTCCCAAATCTTACTGATTATCAGAATTCCTTTGGAAATTTTTTTAACACACCAATTTTTTAGTTCCACTCCAAAATCATATTGCAATATTGAAGTATATTATATCAACATGTTATACATCTTAAACATATATGTTATATGTCAATTATATCACAATTTTAAAAAGCAATCATTTTGATCAAACTTTTGTGGGTGGAGGGAGTAATTCACCTAAGGGACACGAAGGAAACAATGGCAACATAATTTTAGCAAGAGTGAAAGGGTCTGCATTGAAAATATTTTAAAATATTTTTGAGTTTAGATTAAATTTAGGATCCCAACTGAGCAAACTGGGTGGGGTTCTTAGGGTAAATTAATGAATCAGTATTTCAGAAAAGTAGGACTTGGAATTTTACTTACCTAAAACTCCCCAAATGATCATGAGATATTGCTCTAAAATAAATGACTGACTCAAAGGACCTTTCTCCTCCCTAAATGCTTTAGGGCTCTGTATATTAAGACACACTTATAGAAATATACTTCTAAAGTATCTCATTTTTAATATTTGCTGGTAACTGCATCTGTAGTTCAACATTATTTTTAAAGCTGTTAAAAAACCTTGCTGTCAATTATATTACTTTTAAAAAATTCACATGGGGCCCTAATTTTTTCTTAAGAATTTTCATTCCCCTATTTTCTCATCCCATTAATGATCACCTTTAAGTGACATAGTTCCACTTTACAAGTTGCAAAGATTGAAGATATGAGATGATAATACCGGGTAAAGATTACTGATTGCTTGCTTTGGGCTTGGCTCATTTGTATCCAGTTACCTTCAAAATAAGCCTAGGAGTATATTCCAGTATGATCTCACTTTACAAAGACGGCAGTAAGTTTTAAAGTGTTTAAGTGGCAGGGCCAAGATGAAGGTTTGAGGTGAAAGTAACTCGAGGGTGTTAGCATAACAGTTCAACCAAAGATGCAATTGAAATTACATTCTTTTCCCTGTCATGTCTGGAATAGTGAGATGGCCAGATTGCAGGCAGCTTAGATCCAGTGGCTCAAGACCTACAAGGTTAGAGCTGTTGACAAGGGAGATGCCTGCAGCAGGCAGTGGGAAAACGTCCAGGGAAGCAGTGTCTCTCCCGGTAGTCTTGAGAAAGATCAGATCTATGGTATGAAAGCAGGTAGTACAAGGAGATATGGGCAAGGCCAGTGGTGTCAGAAAAATTCAACAGCATAGCCACTGGGCTTAGGAAAAGATACTCAGTCACAGAGGAAACACAGAGAAGGGCCAAGGTCGACCCTCAGCCAGTGAGGAATGAAATGTCTCAGGAAAAGTAATCAGGGACAGAGGCGGGAAAGACTAGAGAGATACCTACTGGCTGGAACTGGGGTAGAAAACAAGCCTTGGTTACAAGGGGCTGGGACCAGCCCCTGGATCTCAGAAATAAGTGACAAGGTCAGAATGCAGGGCGGCTGACTGGATGCTGAATCAGTCAGCTTCTGGCTAAGGACATCTTCTACACCCCCAGCCTAGAGACAAGATTAGTTCCAAAATGCAGACTAAGGCTGAACCTCCAGATGGGGCTAACTGGCCATAGCTGTGAAGATTAGCGGGCTGCAGGGGGCAGGGAGCCAAGAAGATTATTATACTTCCCAGGCAAGAATGAAAAGTTGTTAGCGTTTAAATAAAATGTACTTAAAATGTCCAATGTAAGCAATAGGAATGGTGCTGAAATGATAAGCGTATTGATTTTCATTTACATAAATACCTTTGTATGTTAATGTATTATATTTAGTTATGGCCATGAAGGGCAGATTGGAGAGAGCTGAAGGACACAAGAATAAAGCAATAAATGAAATTAAATAGGCATGGAATAAAAGAGGCTATAAAGTAAGATAGGAAGCAATAGGGGAGTGATCTGACTCTCATACAGTCCGCCGATCCAGGGGAGCTTTAATGTGCCATTGATGAGACCGTGGCCAGGTCCTCGTGCAGACATAAAACACTGCATATGCTCTGTGGCAGCCAAGAGCACAACTCAGTGTTTTGCATTACTTTGTCCTCTGACACTAACTAAACTACAGTTTTATGCATACACATTTCCTTAGCTCTGCTTTATGAAGTCATAACAAGATGTGAATAAGTACTAGTGCGAAATAACGTTACCATTGTATCTGCAATATTAAAACGCCAGCCTAAGAAATTAACGCTTTACCTTTCACCGCAGGACTAAGCCTGGTTATGCAGAGGCGCTCAGGTACCTTCTAGATGGTGAAGAGTCTTTGGTAGGGTCCAGAAGCCAGCACACAATCAGCTGACCTTGTTTCCCTAGTTACCTAGGTGCGTTTTTGAGTCACTGGACATGGGGCAGAAAAAATAAATAAAAGAGGAGTGAGGAGAGGGGCAGAGAAAGAAAAAATACTAATGAGAGAATGGCGTTGATAAACCATGTACTGATGTTTTGCTAACACTTTAGTGACTTTATTTTGAGAAAATATGTGCTTTAGTAACTCATATAAGCCTCTCGCTTATGTTCCATGGTCTTATTCCAGGGGTTTTTTCTTGTCTTTTTCTTCTCATTATGGAGAGCTAATGTCAAGACCTCAGAAATCAGAAAATGGTCAGGTTTCCTCAGTGGGAAAGGAAGACCATCACTACAAAACCCTCTGCAGCTGAGGATAGTTACCTAAGCGGAGGAAGGATGCAGCTTTCAAAGGAGAAAGGGAAACGTGCCCACACCCCGCGCCCAGGCCCCGGCCCGCCGCGCTTCCCGGAGCCCTCACCTAGGGGGGCTGAGAAACCCGGGGGCGCCTGTGCTGGGGTGCGTGCTGTGTGGGGGCGGGCGCTAAGGAGAAACCTAAAGAAGGGCTTAAAGATCGCTTCTGTTCATATCTAAACTGAAAAAAGAAATCAAAACTACTACATTTTCACATCAAAGAGACTCTCAATTACATCCTGTCAGTTATAATTTATAAGGAAAAAGAATGGCTGATAAATAAGTCGAACACAATAAAATCGACTCGCTGCAAAATAATAAGGCCCCACCTGATAGCCCTCAGAACACCGCCTTATTATTTCAACAAATGTTTCTGATACTTGGCTGGTTTCAGAAACAGCTTCATATTCCCTTAATTATCTTACCTGATAAATTATTTCAGTAAGTCCAAAGTAGGTCAGTAGTAACTCTTTGCACTGGGAACTATTCCTAAGAAGTAATTAGCCTAGAACTTTCTGTTGGTCCTGTCGATCAGAAGTAGTTCAGCGCCTTGGGGTTGATACTTGATTTAATATAAGAACAAAGCAAGTCGGTAGCTGGGTCTGATCATAGAAATGGCTGGGTGTGAAACTGGCTGCGTGCCTAACATTGCCAGGGTGTCAGGATGGATCAAGGAAGGGAGCACAGGTGTAAGAGCAGATGTGGCTGGGTGACAAATGACATAAAGGGACAACTTAAATTATTATGTGTACGTGCTTCTTACGTATGCTTTACAGCTCTTATTTCCATTTTAACTTTGCTCTTGTATTATCCTCTGCATGGCACTCAGGCTCCATTAGCAAAGTCATGTGGGCTTAATAGCTCTTAATTCCTCAAGCAGT